GCCGAGGAGCGCCGCGCCCGCGCCGCCCGACCTTCCTCTCCGCCGCCCGAAGCCCGCCGGCGCCGCCCCCGCTCTTCTCCGGCACAGGTCCTCCGCCGCCTGCCTCCTCAATTCCGGCCGACGATCCTCGGGAGTCGCGCCATTGCTACAGTATACGCGGGCTAGATCTGGATCCGGTTTCGTCTCGGTTGACTTTCTTTGCCCGAAACCCTAATAATTTGCTATGTTCATCATGTCGTATCTCCTCATCCGTAGCTCCGTTTTGGGCATATAGCATATCAGAATGTTCGTATCTGAGAGCACATCATTTCATTCCATTGCATCATTTTCATTTGAGTTCATCTTGATGCCCGGAATGCTGTTAGAAGAGTTCTATTTGAGTTAATTGTCAGATCTGCTGCTCCATTTAGATATTTGTCATTTTTGCCATGATTATTGTGTGCATGATATGCCCCTGAGCTCTACATATGTTTTGTTAAGGGTTTTGCGATTTTTCCAGTGGTGCAACCCATGTATTTTTGTGATGTGTGTGGTGACTAGCACAAGCTTGCAAAGTAAGGCACTTGGTAATGCTGATTTCAGGGACTTAGCATTTCCACTAAGCCCTTGATCTGTTTATCTCATATGGCCATATGTTCATGTTGTTTCCTAGTGATCCGTGCCTCTTTTGAGGATGATCAGTAAGGATGTTTTGTTAATCTTGTAGTGCTATATCCATCCATGTCTTTGTTTGCAATTATGGAGCACCCTAGCTTGAGTCAATCGAGCTCTACTTTTGTCATTTCGTGAATCTGGGCAGATTGTCTACTTATTAACGATTTTGCCGATGATGTTGTAGTTGATCCGTGCATTGCTATGTTATTGTTCTTGCCATGTCTAGCTTGCATTTTGTGTATTCTTGATGGATGTATGCTTAGTTTGTCATGACTTGCTCTGTAGTGAGTGCATCGAGCTCGTAAATATGCCTACTTGATATATGTTTAAGCATGTTCCAGTTTTCACTAAGTCTGAGAACTGATTATGTTTTTGTCATGTTCACATGCTTGCAAATGTATTTTATGTTCCCTTTTGGCTCAAGGTCACTAAGGGACTTTTCTTAAGCTCTTTGAGTAGCTCCATGCCATGCTTTATTTTGCCATGTTCAGGTCCTGTAGCATGTAGTTTTGTTGCTCCAAAAAGTGCTATCTGATCTAAAATTCCAGACAAGTGTTAATTTCACTAAGTCTGAGATCTGTTTGCCAAATGCATTTTTGCCATGCTTATTTGAACCTGTTAATGGATGAATTGGTCATAGCTCAGTGTTAGACTTTTGTTAAGAATCATGAATGGATTCTAGCCATGTATTTTGATGCCATGTTTGGGTGCTGTAGTATGTTCATCTTGTTGCATTTAGATGGCTACTTGCTGTAAATCGCAGAACGTGGCCATATTTGAATTGCTTGCCATTTCCAAACCGTGACTCTGATTCCGGCGTTCTTTATATTGTTTTCAAGCGATTTCATATCATCTTTCCGATGGCACACTTGGTTTTCCAAGTTGAGGCCAGGTTCATGCATTCCTTGTCACATCTTGCATATGCATCCCGCATAGCATACCATCTTTGCATCATATTGTTTGAGCCTTGCACGTGGTTGATTGTGTCCTTGTTGCTTGTTTGTCTTGTTTGGGTAGAGCCGGGAGACGAGTTCGCTAACGAGGAGCCCGTTGAGTTTTCTTTCGAGGATCCAGTCAACTCTGACAACTTTGCAGGCAAGATGATCATACCCTCAAAATCACTATTATCTTTGCTTTGCTAGATGCTCGCTCTTTTGCTATGCCTATGATACGATGCCTACCACTTGCTTATCATGCCTCCCAAATTGCCATGTCAAACCTCTAACCCACCATGTCCTAGCAAACCGTTGATTGGCTATGTTACCGCTTTGCTCAGCCCCTCTTATAGCGTTACTAGTTGCAGGTGAAGATTGGAGACCGTTCTTTGTTGGAACATTATTTACTTGTTGGGATATCATTATATTGCCATGTTATCTTAATGCATCTATATACTTGGTAAAGGGTGGAAGGCTCGGCCTCTCGCCTAGTGTTTTGTTCCACTCTTGCCGCCCTAGTTTCCATCATATCGGTGTTATGTTCCCGGATTTTTGCGTTCCTTACGCGGTTGGGTTATAATGGGAACCCCTTGATAGTTCGTCTTGATTAAAGCTTTTCCAGCAATGCCCAACCTTGGTTTTACCATTTGCCACCTAGTCTCTTTTTCCCTTGGGTTTCCGGAGCCCGAGGGTCATCTTATTTTAAACCCCCCCGGGCCAGTGCTCCTCTGAGTGTTGGTCCATCTGTCAGCTGCCGGTGGCCACCAGGGGCAACTCTGGGCTGGCCTACCCGTACCTAGGACAATCTGAGTGTGCCCTGAGAAAGAGATATGTGCAGCTCCTATCGGGATTTGTCGGCACATTCGGACGGTGTTGCTGGATTTGTTTTAACCTGTCGAAGTGTCTTGAAGAACCGAGGTACCGAGTCTGATCGGAACGTCTCGGGAGGAGGTCTATTCCTTCGTTGACCATGAGAGCTTGTCATGGGCTAAGTTGGGACTCCCCTGCAGGGATTTGAACTTTCGAAAGTCGTGCCCGCGGTTATGGGCAGATGGGCATTTGTTAATGTCCGGTTGTAGATAACTTGAACCCTAACTTAATTAAAATGAATCAACAGTGTGAGTTACCGTGATGGTCTCTTCTCGGCGGAGTCCGGGAAGTGAACACGGTGTTGGAGTAATGCTTGCCGCAGGATGCTCTTTAGTTACTCGTCCGCACTTTGCCCTCTCTTCTCGCTCTCTTTTGCGAACAGGATAGCCACCATATATGCTAGTCGCTTGCTGCAGCTCCACATAATTACCTTGCCTTACCTATAAGCTTAAATAGTCTTGATCGCGAGGGTGCGAGATTGCTGAGTCCCTGTGGCTCACAGATTACTTCCAAACCAGATGCAGGGCCTGATGATTCCGCTCCTGGTGACGCGCTTGAGCTCAAGTGGGAGTTCGACGAGGACTCTCAACGATACTACGTGTCTTTCCCTGATGTTCAGTAGTGGTGCCCAGTTGGGGTGATCGGGACCGTGTCGCATGTTGGGTTATCTTTTATTTTGGCGCCGTAGTCGGGCCATGAGTGTTTGGATGTTGTAATGCTATTTATGTACTTGATTGACGTGGCGAGTGTAAGCCAACTATGTACCTCCCCTTTATTATTTATATTACATGGGATGTTGTGATGATTGCCTAACTTGCGACATTGCTTTCAATGCGGTTATGTCTCTAAGTCGTGCCTCGACACGTGGGAGCTATAGCCGCATCGAGGGCGTTACAATGCGTGAGCCGCGAGCACGGGCGTGGCCAGAGCGCTCCACGGCGGCGCGCGCGGCCAGGGCCTCCCGGCGGGCACCGTGCGCACGGGCGCGACTAGGGCACTCCACCACGGCACCCCTCCCCCCTCTGTACGGTCGCGACCAGGGCCTCTGGCGGTCGCCGCGAGCACGAGTTCCCGGCCGAAACTTGTTGGATCCAGGTGCAGCGGAGGGCTGGGGAAGCTCGGCGACGTCGGGGCGGCGCGGCGAGGTTGAGTTCATCCATGGCGCGGGAATGGCTGTTGCTCCTGTTTGAGAGAGAGGGAAATCAGGGAGGAAGGAGGAGGAGAAAAACAAAGGGGCGGCGAGGGGAGCTCCAGCAGCTTGACATCGGCGGCCAGGTCTCAGATGGCCGTCGACCAACAAGGGCGGCGAGCCGCGCTGGCGGCACCAGTGTGCTGATAAGCCCATTAACTGTTTGTTGAAATGCCCACAAGAAAAAGAATTTTAAAAGAGACAACCAGATGAGTCACTTACAGGTGGGTCCCTTGTCCAACTCAGCATATTGTCCACACAAGCATGCCACATCAGCCTGGCAGGTGGGCCCAACTTGTCAGTTTCACTGTTTTCGCATGCTTATCAGACAATCAGTGCTCCCCGTTAGTCATTAGGCACAAAATTGGTGGTTTTTTGTGCCCTGTCCGAAAAGTGGTACTAAGTTGTTACCCTAGCCCCAAATGTGATGGTTTTGGGTAAATAACTCTCGTCTTGTCTTCATGAGTAGGACACAAACCCTAACAAATCTCGAAGACACGTTTAAAAACGGAGCCCTCCCACCGGCAAGGGCCGAGATCCGTCGTGCCCATAACCCTAAGGCCACCAAAGACGAGGTGGATCGGCGCCAGCGCCGGTGGGAGGCACAAGAACCCTAATTGGGGAGGAGGCGGCTGCGTGAGGAGTCACGTACCTGGACTTGGCGCTGTTAGCACGTTAGTTTTTGCCGTCTAAAACATGAAAACCAAGTACACGATGGACGGACCCTGGCCGGGCGCCTTTTAGGTCTGTGCTTGGCAACTATGGCACTCGGATGCTACCAAAAGAAAAGAAAAACCCTAGCACTCCGGATATAACGGCTGATGGATCGGCGGAATCATAACAGCCAATTCGAACTCGCATCGGCGATCAAGGGTGACATGAGGACATCCGCGGACGTCTTGGCGGCCATCCTGCTGTGGCTCCCTCCCAGCTCCCGGCAGCTGGCCCGCCTGGTCTGCCGGCGATGGCGCGACGTTGTAGACACGCGCACGACGGAGATGCAGAGCCGCGCCAAGCCTCTCGTAGTTACGGACGCGGGCTCCGCGCACGCCGTGGACGATCTATCAACAGGGTGCCATAGAGTTCTGTGGAATGGCATCCCTAGGGATCTCCCCCACGAACGCAGGAACGTCATCGTCGGCACCTGCAATGGCCTGATCTGCCTGTGCAACAACCGGAAGGTCGACGGCGTCATCACTGTGATTAACCCGGTCACCGGCGAAAAGCTGTCTCTCCCGCCGCTGCTATCCACCACTGGCTCCCCAGGGAGCGGCTACATTGTAGGCTGGCACGAGGAGTATGGCTTCGGGTACCACCCAACGACTGGACGGCACAAGGTCGTGCATGTGGCGGCCTACGATAGGAAGGGAAACTCTCATCAAGTGAAGGTGTTCACTTTGGGGGAGTCGTCATGGAGGGACGTTGCCACGGGCTCTGTCCCGAGATGCCAATACAGTGCCGGCATTGTCGGCGTCAACGGCACCATGTATTGGGCTGCGAAGCGCGGAAGGAAGCTCATGGCACTGGACCTCGACCATGAGAGTCTCTCTTTCATCAAGTCGCTACTTGATGTGTCGCCTGGAAGCTGGAACCTGACGGAGGTGCGGGGGAGGTTGGGGGTGGTGTTTTACTCGTTTCCTCATCAGTGTGAGGTATGTACGTGTTTAGAGGATTTTACACATAGGATCCGTCTACATCTAGGTCCACACCTTTGTTCACTTAAGTCTCAGTTTGTTCACAAACAGTAAAATTTTAGTTCAGCGAGAAGCGCAATTTTCCATCTAGTTACACTTTTCTTTAAAAGGGTGTGTAGGTTCGATGTACTACTATTTACTTTTTTTGGAAAAAAGAAGGTTATCCCCTGGCCTCTACATCTGAACGATGCATGCAGTTACTAGTTCCATCCCAAATTATAAGACGTCTTTTAGGCTATTTTGGCCTACCAAAACATCTTGTAATTTGGGACAAAGGAAGTAATATTTATAATACCAAATTAAAAATCACACTTCTCTATATTGATCAAGACTTGAGAAAAATCTCAATCGACTTGAATCAAATTAGCAAAATCGATACACTTATTCACCTGTGTAATTGTTTTTCCGACAGATATAACACATGACATTGCTCTTAATTTCTGCACAATATATAGCCACATGAAAGTATTGCATCTTTAAATCAGTTTGAGTTGCATCCGCAGGTTTGGGTTCTAGAGGGTGCAGCGACAGTGAGAGAACACACATGGAGCCGTTGGTACATCGTGAGAAGGGACATCTCATCGCCGAGGACCTGGCAGCTCACAAGGCCACACTTTGCTCACAGGGAGTACCTCCTCAGAGAGGAATTGTATGATGGTTGCGGAGGGCCACGTAATGTCGTGTATAAACACAAGCCCAACAGCGATAGCGGCATGGTGGAGATCAGTGAGACGAGTCCGGGAACAAGAGTCCTCACTATAAAAGCTGCCTTGCCCAACCATTGTCAGACGTTTGCCTATGTGGAGACCACGGAGCCGCTAAGTGTTTACAAGTGTTGTTCTTAAAAGGTAGCACAATCAGTATCGTTCCACATACGGTTTTTGTCACTTCAAAATGCTAAGATTTTTTATAATACACTCAAATCAATATATGTGTCGCCCATTTTTGAGGATTCTTATCGTCAACTAATTTGATTGAGTCAGACATGACCAAATATCCTAGATTGATAAGTGTTGTTGTCTTTCAGGTTGTAACTATGTTCATGCAAGCAGCCACGCCCTTTGCCCCGCCCAGTCAATTGCGGTCTTGTGTAGACCTCTTTTTTCCTGCTTTGTAAACTTTCCATCTTTGAGATCTATATTCTTTGTAACTTTTCATTCTCGACACTTTTAGAAATTTGGTTTTGACCTTCAAAAAATAAAATCTTGAACCAGTTTTCAGGACTTAGTTTTGTTGAATGGTTTACACTTTTGAAAACTTAACATTCAGAATTCACACTTCCAAAAATTTGAAAGTATCATTTGAACTCCTAAAATTTTAGAACTTCCACTAGAAAAAAACGGCCACGTGTGCATGAGCCCCACCAGGAGGAAGAGGAGAGATGAGAGAGAAGGGGAAAACATGTGTGGCCCCCACATTTGACAACCAGTATTGTCAACATTGTCACAAAAAGAACAAGTAGGGTTATCCAAGAAACTAATTAATGGAGTGCTTTTTTACGTGATTAGCGAGGTACATATTTTTGTGTGTAGCGCCTGCTTCGAAGTGAAGAGAAGAACTTTGTCGGTCGATCGGTCGAGGATTTGCGGGAGATGAGAAGCGCACTTGAACAGAAGCAGATCGATCTAGGGTTCTACCTCTGGAGAAGTTGTGCTGAGAATGGGCGCGCTCCACCAAAAACAGGCCACGTTCTCTCATCAAAAGAAAGAAAGAAACAGGCCACGTTTTTTGTTCTGTTTTTTAGGGGGGACACAGGCCACGTTTTGTTGAGCGATGCGCTGGGTCTCGCAAATGGGCTGGCCCATTCGCTCTGGCTCACTGCGTGTTACTGGGTTTTTTTTATTATTAGGTTTTTCTCAAAAAAATAGTAGGTTCTCCTGAAATATAAATGTTTATTGGCATCTCCTCTTCTTCAGTAAGGAAAAGTCTATGTTTCACTCCTCGCCACCAAAATCAGAAAATGTAGCTGCCGGCGGTGCCTGATGTTTTATTTCACTTTAGCAGCTGAACCTCGTAACTTACCCATGCGTGCGCGCGTGTTCAAAAAATTTCCACTAAGCAATCTTTACTGCTGGTTCAACATGGGAAGAAAACCACAATCTTTACTCATTTGTAGTAACCCTCGATAATAAAATGTAAGGCATTTTTTAAGCCATATGCAAAACCAAAAAAACACTTGCATTTTGGTACAGAGGTGCTTACCGACATGGCAGAACAGCTAAAGACAGATCGGAATAAGAACCGGCGTCATGCTGCCTATTTTGCAGCCACAGCGAAATAGAGAACAACTGCGCCGCAAAGGGACGTCAAAGACAACATCTAGACCACAAACTAGCCAAATTTGCAAAAGCCGGCATGCAATCGGTTGCAAGACGCAAAATACCATCGCTAGCTCGTTTGTTTCTTCTACTTTACACGACAATCTCTAGGGCAACAACATCTAAGAGCTTGCAAATTAAGAGGCTGAGTTGGTTTTGGAAACCAGAGCAGACAGATACATGGTTATCTGCTCCCAGTCTGATACATCCCATCCATCATGAGATAAATCTTGCACCCAACAGATAGCACAGCCACCGACTTGGCCGCAATCAGTCGGTCTTCATTGCCTCCGCATGATAGGATTCCAGGTCTTTGTCCAGGTCATCTGCGCTTTTCTCTGCCCCCTTCCTGCCCCGACCGCGGCCCCGGCCCCGGAACTGACCGCGGCCCCTGCCTCGGCCCTGGAACTGAGCCTGTGACGGAGCATAGCCCCTGCCTCCGCCTCGTCCCGCTTGGAAAGCACCACGTCCAGCTTGGAATGCACCACGATTCAACCTGGTGGTAGGATTACTGGAACGGCAGATTGAGAGTGAGAAAATTTAAAAAGATTAAAACCAAACACAACAATTCCTGTCTGTTTTGAGGGCATCAACTCAAAGAAACAACATGACTAAAATAGATACATACATCTGAAATAGCAATTTGTCCAATGGCACGGGCAACATGGCTGCTTCATGCTAGAAATTTAGTAACATGCATGATCTGAACCTTTTGTGTCATGTTTTTTTTCTTGAAAGAAAGAAAATGCTCACTAATCACAGTTGATCACGCAAGTTGAGAGCAGAATGTGTCAAAAGAAATTTATTCATAGGTCCTAGTATTGCTGGTAATAAACAGCTAACAATACAAACAACGACACAAGGATAAACTACACGAGCCAAATAATTGCTAGTAACAGACTGAATTGCCACATTAAAAGTCATCAAAATCATTAGAAGCTTTACCTCAAAGGCCTAGTGCTGGAACCACCACCACGCCGACCCGTTTCAGGCCTGAAATGTAACATTTGTTCAGATACAACAAAATAGTGTGGATATATGACCACATACACACACCAAAAATACTGCTAACTAAAAAAATATGTAAAAACATAGTTAACAACCGTTTGTAATGCAGGAGTTTAACAGGAAACAGTTCAAGTCCGATAGGATTCAATAAAAAATCTCATATTCCAAACAGGCTCTTACAACTTGGATCTGCTTACTGGCAAATGATTTGCACTTGTGGTAATCGAACTTCAGTAAATTTGACAACTACATGACTAAAATGCAGAAGTTGCTGATCAGACAAATAGAAGATGGCAGATTAGCATGAAATTGGTTGACAAACAAAAAAAGGAGAGGGGGGTTTCCACTGTGGGCAAGCAATTAGTGTTAAAAACATTGGACAAAGAAACAATGCATTGGCATAGGCTGAGGCTGAGGCAGAGCGGTGATCCAGCTGATGTTTTAAGTTACATACTAGAAGAGAAAACCAGCAAAAGTTCAGGCAACATAAGAACATCACTGAACTCGTCAAAGCAAAATATCCAACACGCCCATCGAACACACTTCTGGTGGCAGATGTATAGAACATTGAAAAAAAATCATGAATGGTGAATTAGGCAAATTTGAAATTTTCACTCACGTCATAACAACCGTTCTCGTAGCTCTACCATTAGATGCCCCGACAACATTTATACGAGGTGTCATAGACAAACCCAGGTCACTTCCAATGACCTCAATCTTCATAGATTTTCCATCAAGCAGAACATTATTATAACGTTTCAATGCAGCAATTGCATCACTCCTCCTTGTAAATACCACCTCCGCTGTGCCCTTCAAAAAATAAAAATAAAAATAAAATAGTGAGTACAAAATGTTTCTAGATAAATAATAAATACAAACAAGTATTCAAGTAAACTTAATCTAAAACTATAAACTTATTGTCTTCACTAGCTAAAAAGATAAGGTATAGGCATGCATTCAACCATCTTTTGCACCCAAGGTAAAAATACGAGAAGAAACTAGCTAAATACTAGACCTATATTTCCTCTTCTATGTTAAGTCTCCCTCGTTAAAAGACGCACACCAATACAAGTGATGTCCAATAACAACAGCTACAAAGTAGGCTTTTAACTAAAAAAATAGAATAAGGATATGCAAACAAGAACTAATCCCAGCGGGGCGTTTACCTCGCCAACACTTAGATCCAGCTCTACCCAAATTTCTTTGGTTCACCCCAACATTACCCACTTGTTTGACTTGCCCTTTCCTTATCCAAATGATACCAAATGCAAGATAATAGATTTTCTAACAAGTTGTCATCGCTAACATATAATTAAGCTGTGAATATATATTCATCTAGAGCAAACAGAAACTGCTGAAGGGACAACGCAAAAAGGTTTCAATATCCTCTGAAAGCAACTCAACATATATGTATCATTTTTACTCTCCATATAGTATTAAAATGGTGAACTTTTCATTCAAGGTGAAGTAAAAAAAAATAAGTCACTTTGAGTTTTCATATAGAACATATGATGCATAGAAATTTCTTAAAAAGTATGCTAAATATGCTCAAGACTTCAAGCTGAAATGCCAAAAGAGTTACGAACATTTTGGCGACCATAACCATCAAAGTGAACAGCAAAGCGTTTCAAATGACCAACTTCTGAAAACAGCTCCTGAAAGGCAAATTAAAAATAGGTTAGTGTAATAGTTAATATATAGCAATCTAGGACTGGTAAATTCAGGCTGTCTACTTGCTTCACCAACCTTTATATCCTCATTGGAAACACGATAGTCCAAGTTTGAAATGTACAATTTTGTACCAGTTTCGATTCCACTAGCCGCCATACTATCACTAAATAGATCAGGTCTCCAGGTCATGTCTTTGGTTCTGCTAAAAGACTGCAAAATGCCAAATGACCAGCATGTGAGGAAACATGTCTGTCATAGAAGAAGGCCACCTCAAACTTTTGAGATGATCATGATAACTATTAGGAACCACTTGGAATATGCATCAACCATTGTGTAGCAACAAGCTACTGAAGAACAGCCAAGCTATGAAATACTGCATAAAGCTAATGATTGAGAGGAAAAGAGTTCCAACAATATCACATATTTCGAAAGCCAAATATATAAATGGCTTAAGCTCTTCCTCAGGAGACAGCCCAGAAGCACACCACTGGAG